CACTGGTTAACATGTAAGACGAATTACATCGCTGTTTTTCTATAGAATCTTAGGAGTACGGCTGATGACCTCTAGAGCCAATTCGTGTTCAAACTTAATTGTTTAGCTTACACACTAACGGATATGTCCATAGGATTCTGCAGGTAACCATGATAGTTTCTTAGGGAAAGCTGTGATACAGGTTAGTTTTACTTGTCAGTTAAGCCTTCAAGCTTATTCAACATGGTCGAGCCGGGTATGGAAATTACTCATGAGAGGGGCAGAAGACCTCTCATAAACTCTGCTATCTGTCAGTTTATATAAACTCGTGAGAGAAAGCATTCTCTGATAAGCATGCAACAATTTTCCTAGAACTCCTCGATCAAAACCTTAGCTATTAATCATGCAGCTTTTGAGGCATGAGCTTTTCATTATCATTTCCACTTACTGCTCAGGCAGATAGACATTAGTACAACAAACCGAATGCATACATTCACTGAAAACAAGATCCTGCACTGCAATAGGTAAATCTTAGGTAAAATGCTTATTTGATCGCACTACAGAGTTTTTGCCTTTGACTGCAATTTGAATAAAAATCTCTCTATTTTGAGTCCTAATCCTGGGGTCGTTGTTGTTTTGCGATCGTCTGTTGAGCATCGTTCACATAATTTAAATAGCCAATTTTGCAATAGTTTGTAATACTAAAGTGACTGAAGAGGGGCAAATAAACTATGGATCAGATGAAAGTACAATACCTGTATGAAGTCTATGAGTCATTTCGATAAATAAATTCTAGCTATGCTTTTCCCCGTGGCTTCGCTATTTTATGACTGATGCACCAGCAATCGTCGTCAAAATCGAGTAATTGTGCATTTTATTGGCATTCAACTAACAGAAGCAAAGACAGGTGGATATTATTACGAAAATGTTTTGTGTCCCTTGAATAAGGCTGGGAAAACTAAGCTTTGAAAGGAACAAATGTGATGAAATTCAGGGTGTTGCACGAGTTTGGTCAAGAACTGTGCGCCTCAGCCAGCTATACACATGGCTTCAGTAAAAAAACGGTCGTTGCCATACTACCAACGAGAGAAAAAGATGGACAATAGAAAGCACTTCCATTTACTTCTATTTCATTAGTTGAGGAGTTCAGAACGACTCACTTTAGAGTCTGAATTTGGGCTGGTGAAAGGTAACAAAAAGTTTCTGTATATGGTTCTGCAAAAGGGGTCGATGATGGGAGCGAATGGGAGTCAGTATGTAATGGCCAGGTGCCATCAGACAAATTTTCGTTTGTAAACTTCAAGCAGCTGTCAACGTGTTCATCACAAACATGTTTGAGAAGCAAGACTGGTCATTGTAAGGCCGGGATTCAGTAAATTAAAAGCAATTTTCGGTTGATCTGTGAGGGTTTGTGTGGTAACAAACGGAGAGCGATGAAGGAGTGAATAAAAAGCACTGTTGAACAAATGTTCAAATCATTGACTGCTCAATGAGAATGTGACGCAATCTTCTAATTCAGAAGGGAAATCTTTTTCGTATGAGTAAAAGTCCGCGTTCGTAGTGACTAAGATTACTTTCAAGAGTTAACTAAGGCGGTGACTCTGCGCACTTGTTTTCTATCAATTTGTTTGTTTTCGTACGGAAACGGGTAGAGATACGTCTGTCATTTATTGAAATAAGTCCAAGGTGGGATGAATTGAATAATGCAACTAGGCGATGAAACCGT